CGGCGCTAAAAGGCTTACCGGCGGGGAAGGCCCCGGGGCAGGACGGCCTGCCAAAAGAACTCTTCGAAAGAAACTGGGAGCTGCTGGGCCCGGCAGTGATGAGAGAGGTCAAGAGCTTCGAGTCAGCAGGGGTGCTTTCGGAGTCTTTCACAACAGCGGTCACGATCCTCCTGCACAAAAAAGGAGACAGGGACGACTTGGGAAATTACCGACCGATCACTCTACTGAGCTTCTTCTACAAATTGCTGGCGAAGGTGTTGGCGAACAGAATCAAGGTGGTCTTACCGCGTGTGATCTCAGCCAACCAGTTCGGCTTTCTTCCGGGGAGGAGTCTCGCTGACGCTGTCTCTCTGGTAGCAGATGCGATTGATGCTGCGGAGCAGGAGGATGAGGATTGGCTGCTGCTGCTGGTTGATTTTCAGAAAGCTTACGATTCGGTATCACGTGAATACCTCTTCGCGACATTGGGCAACATGGGTTTCCCGGAGAAGTTCACGAGATGGGTAAAGGGTCTCCACGATGGAGTGGCAACCAGGGTACTGTTGAACGGTTGGATTGGGGAGCGAGTAGAGATGGCCAAAGGGGTGCGCCAGGGCTGCCCGCTCGCCCCGTATCTCTTCCTCTGCGCGGTTGAGCCTCTCTGCCAAGAAATTCAACGGAGGAAACTGGGGGTCAGGAAGAGAGGGGTGAAAGGGAGCTTAGACTACATTGGATATGCAGACGACACGACGCTGGTCTTGAAGGGCAAAGAGCAGGTGGCGGTTGCTGAGAAACTGTTGGGGGAGTTCGCGGCAATCTCAGGACTGAAGGTGAACCGGGATAAGACAACATTGATGCCGCTCGGGAAAAATCGAAGGAGGCTGCAGCCGATAGCGTCGTCTTTCAAGTGGGCGGCGAAGAACACATCTGAAAGGCTGCTCGGAATCTGGATCACCTCTGGAGGCTCGCCGGGACCTGCATGGGACAATGCTTTCGAGAAGGTTAGCGCGGTGCTGAGTTGCTGGGAGACTAAGCATCTCAAAACCTCGGCACGGGTGACCATCATAAACAGCTACGCGATGCTGATTTTGCTCTTCCAGGCGCAGATCTACGCCCCACCGTACGAGGTCTGGACCAAAGTGAAGAGGCTCTGTCATAATTTCATCTCCGGTGGGAAAGCGCTCCTTGATCGACACTTCACGTTATGGAGCTATGAGCTGTCGTGCAGAGGACGGAAGGAGGGGGGCTTGGGGGTGATTGATCTGAAACACCGGATTGACAGCATGGTGATCCAAGGACTGGGAAAGGCCCTGGTGGAACAGGAGCCACTTCGAAACTGGTTATGGGAGAGGGCGGCGGCTTTCCCCCTTGGCCTGGCCACGGTTTACGCGCACCCTTCGGTCCTGAAGTCCTGGCTGGGAGGGGGCACGAGATGGAAGGCCACTATTAAGGCACTGTGGGACTCAAAACTTGTGGACATAGGCGATCCAGCTCACATATGGGACGCAGAGGAGGAGCAGTTACTTTTCAACCGCAGTATTTTCTTCAGAGGCAGATCACCCTTCGGCAACCAGGCGGGCTCGCTCTGTCTGAAGGGCATCCGACTGGGGGATTTGGTGGTGAAAGGAGGAGACGGCAGCAGAGCTCGTAAGAGCGATGAGGTTTTGGAGAGGGAACTGGGAGGCGTGGAGCAGAGGAAATGGGCCCTGAAGGCGTGGGAGGCGACACCGCAGAGATGGAAGGATATGGTGCTCAACCAGCTGTCGGCGGATGAACTCTTCAGGGAAACGAGTTTGGTCCGCTCTGCGTCTTACCGCCCGGGGGAGTTCTTTTATTATCAGCTGCAATATGTGAGCAACGGCGAACTTTACGGTCGAAGAGTGACGGTGGACAAGAAAGGGAACATAGGCGAAGTGGAATATGCTAGCGTGGTATCGGTGGAATTTCGGCGCGCTTCACCCATGGCAGTCATAGATGGAAGGGCCCGCGGTTTACTCGGCGCTCCAAGAACGCGACTGCTCTATTCTGCAATCTGTGAGAAAGGCGAGCGGGCGGATCTAAAGAAGTTGAGGAAGGCGATGAAACCCTCGCTGGCGCAACCGAAACAGCAGCTGAAGTGGGAGGAGGAATTGGGGAGGAAGATCGACTGGGGGAAGGCTATCACGGTCCGTGACTCACTGGCAACCCCATGCAAGGCGCGAGAGGTGATACTGAGGGTGCACAGTAACAACCTCCAAGTAGGGGAGCGGCTCCCCTTCTTGGGTGCGAGGGCGAAATGCACGCACTGTGGCGGAGTTGAGTCGCAAGATCACTGCCTTTTCAGCTGCCCGGTGATCCAACCTGTGGTGGAGGTGATGAGGAAAGCGGTTCAGTGTATGAACCCGGGCAGGGACATGCGATCTCTCGGGGACATGCTCTTCCAAAGGAGTGGCACGTCGACTGGCTTCCCAGAGGCTGCAATCATATCCGTAACAGCGCATCAAGTCTGGCTGGAGAGGTGCAATGCGGTTTTCCGTGGTAGCCGGTTCCAACCAAAGAGAGCATTGAGACGCATGGCAGTTGGTTTCACGAGGCACGTGAAGATCTACAGCAGAGCGTGGAAGAAAATGGCTGGCAGGAGTGTTTCGAAAAGGACGGGTGACTGGAGCCACTTGAATGCTGACGAAGCAGGAGCTATGCGCAGGCTCTATGAGACAGAGGCCTCGATGACGTGGAGAGCGGGTTTTAAGGCGATCTGGGAAGACGGCGGTGTTGCTTTCCAACCTCCATAAAAGGATAAGGGGGGCTCTGGTTGCTTGGATACTTGTAACCTCCTCATGCCCTCCTAGCATCAGTTACGACTGCGGATGTATGTATGCTGGTAGTGTACTTATATCCACAAAAAAAAAAAAAAAAAAAAAAAATCGTGACCGCGATATCGCACGCTGCAGTCTTTCGACCACCGTGGTGGAGTGGGGCAAAATAAAAAGTACACTGCATATGGACCGAACCGAAGTCCTTTCGCAGCAGACCGCAAAAAAATATGCAAAATGTCCAATTCGCCTACCACGGCCACACCACTCCGCCTCCTGCCTTGATCCACTGTCTCCTCAGTCCCCCTTCAGCAGCCTCAGGTGAAGCTCAGTAAATAGGGGTCAGATAATAATCTAGAATGGTTGGGTGGGGTGATGAGGGGAAACGAACGTTTTGGATGGGACGTGTGAGGCCAATCTTAACCTGCAATCAGATACTGTATGCAAGCTGTCCGCCAGATTGAAAGCTTCAAGGAAAGAATGCTTGCTTGCTCACTGCCAAAGGGCAACAGTCAGCAGCAACGCTTCAAGCGTTGGTCCTTGTGTGTCTATCTCTTTTCTCTCATGATACGGCGGCCATGGGATTTGACGATTCGATGTTTCTTCCGCCAGGGAACTCGGCTCTTCCGTTGCTGCCATTACAAACTTCCTATAAATCAGCCGCAGCATATTTTGTTAGTGCACGCGGTGGTTGCAGCAGGCATCATTGAGTCATTTTCCCTGACAGCTCTCTTCGACAACCTTCGCCCCCGTTCTCTAGTAACATCTTCTTGCGAGTCCAGCGCGACGCCTAAAAATGGAGCATTTCCTTCCGTCTGCTCGCGAGATGCGGAAACGTTTCACATTTTCTGACATAATTGGTGAAGGTACTTCAGGACGGATTTGGCGATGCGTCGACCGAACCTCAGGGAGTCTTCACGCCTGCAAAGAGATTCTCAAGTCAGGGCTTTCCTCCTTTGAAATAGAGGGAGTTTACAACGAGGTGACTACAATGTGCTATTATCGGGCCACAAGAATGTCCTTTCTCTCCGCGACGCGTACGAGGATGAAAATGCATTGTACCTGATGACGGATCTCTGCACACGTGGGGACCTGTTCGATCTCATCGCGGAAACCAACGGCCTGGATGAACCGACCGCGAGGCACATATTTCTTCAGATTGCTCGAGGGCTTCGTTGGTGCCACCACTTCGACGTGGCTCATCGCGACATCAAGCCCGAAAACATACTGCTGACGTCATCCAAGCTCCTTAAATCTGTACCGATGTCTGTGCTGACAGCCCAGCATCAACAAGCTACTACAATCTCCAATTCTCGTACTACTCCCTCCGAGGCGGAAGATAAGCACCTACAGTCCAATTGCGGGCTTGAAGTTATTGAGGTTCGAATCGGAGACTTTGGATTGGCTCAGGAGATTCGCAAGGGCGAGGAATTGAGAAACGTGGTCGGGAGCTATCCGTACGAGGCGCCAGAGGTGCTTGCGTGTGAGGGCAATGACCTTAAAGCGACGGTGCACATTTGCCACCCAAAACCCAGAACCCTGGCGAACTGTTACTGCGGATGGAAAGTGTCCGCACGAAATCCTGGTTTTCGCCAGCCAGCACTTTCGCGCTGGCAAGCCTGGTTAAAAAAAAAAACTTCTGAACCCAACACTGCCAAAAGTTGCCCGTCGCTTTAAAGCCGACATCTGGTCTCTCGGAGTTGTTCTCTACATGATGGTATGCGCCGATTGGCCCGCTTTTCCTAACGATCGCAGGGAATTGCGGCCGATCGATTTCGCCGTCAGACCTTGGCCGTCCGTGTCGAGCGATTTGAGAGATCTCGTCCGTCGGATGATGGAGGTCGACCCGACGAAGAGACTCAGCATTGACGAAGTTCTGTTGCATCCATGGATTGTGTCGGCAAGGGGAAGCACAATAGCTGTCAGCTTGGAAGCCCTGAAACTCGACAGTATCGAGGGCACTGGGAGCTGTGAAGGAAGCGAGGACTCGCTTTTAGCTTGCTCTTCACCACTCTCTCTAACCACTGATCAGCTGTGCCATACACCAAATAGTGTACTGGATGTTGGCACCAACAGCTTTGTGAAATGACACATTAACTGCTTACGGATTCTGGTCACCACTATGTTCGGAAATCAGTAAGCTTGTGGCCTGTAAAGTTGGTTTTTGGTGTTTGCATCCTACCTGCTACTCTTGTCACTACAGCCAATGAAACTCCAAACAAATTGGTATCACCGGTAATGACAACCTAGGTAAGCCGGGGAAGCAAGTAAACGGCACACCAAATCAAACCTAAAGTAATCAATTATTGGCTTTCACCCCCTGCATCACCGGCAGAAGCGGCATCACCGGCAGAAGCGGCATCACCGGCAGAAGCGGCATCACCAGCAGGATCTTCTGCAGATGAATCAGCAGCAGCAGCAGCAGCGACAGCGTCAGCAGCAGCATCGGCAGCAGCTTCGGCAGTATCAGCTGCAGTGTCAGCAGCAGCATCCCCAGCACCAGCAGCATCACCGGCAGTAGCAGGAGCCTCAGGAGTCGGAAACATGGATTTGGGTTTTAAGAAGTTTTCGTGAACGAATGAAAGTTCGTAGCAGCTGTTACAGCGTGGGTTGGCCTCTGCATTGAAGAGGCGGTAACCCATGTCCTCCAATGGGAAGAGGACTTGGGTGGTCCTGGCCACGTGGCGAATCCTGAATGGATGTGAAAGAATGTGAAGCACAGGAGGTAGAGGGTAAGAGCAAACTCGTGCTTCTGCTACCAGCAAAAAAATGCAGCCGAAAATTGCGTATCACATACCTGTGTGCATGTGCACGAGATTTCACAAGAGTGTCAGTCAGATATTCGAGTTCTGGAGCTGCAGAAACAGCACAGTAACGAGTGACTCACTGGTGAATCTCCACTAAGATTTGTTCTGCTGGCGGATTCTCCTTGCCAAACGTGTTGAGCAGATCCTCCATCAGTCGCTCCTCACAGCGCTCACAGTCAATCTGAGAGAGAGGGGAAGATAGAAGGGGCGAGAAAGGGGCAAGCAGAATAGGGGAGTGCTGAGAAAATCCTCCATCAGCCACTCCTCACAGCGCTCACAGTCAATTTAAGGGGAATGGGGGGGGAAAGGAGGCGGGTTGGGGGGTGAGAGAATGGACAGTGACAGAGAAAGTCACGAGTTGCATGGCAAGCGGCAATCTGATGGAAAGTAGATAGGGGGAAGATAAAAGGGACAGATAAGGGGCAGGTTGCACCCGATGGAAAGGGCTGAGCGGATGGGAGGGGGGACTGCTCAGCAGATCCGCCATCAGCCGCTCCTCACAGCGCTCACAGTCAATCGGAGGGGAAGGGGGGCGGGGGGGGGGGGGGAAGGAATGGGTCACACAGAGCAAGTCAGTTGTTGAGGGGAAAGGGCACGTGGAACAGGGGAGCTGACGGAATGGGGGAGGGTTGAGCAGATCCCCCATGAGCCGCTCTTTACAGCGCTTGCAGTCAATCTGAAAGGAAGGGGAGCGATATGGGGAGAGAAAGGGGTAAGTGTGCACGTACGTACACACATGTCAATCACATGTACACGCCCACCCACCTTCAGCACGTCAATATGAGAGTGGTTCAGCTTCCCCATCAGCTGGGCCAGCGTGGCAAACCGGTTCCCCGGCGCCCCTCTCCTAAGAGCAGAGAGCTGTTTCCCCGCGCCCAGCCCGATGGGGATGTAGCGCAGCAGGTGCTTGGGGTGATCAAATCTAATCCAAGGCACACACACATGCACGCACCTTAAGCACATCAATGTGCGAGTGGTTAAGCTTCCCCATAAGCTGGGCCAGCGTGGCAAACCGCTTCCCCGGCGCCCCCCGCCTTAAAGCAGAGAGCTGCTTGCCCGCCCCCAGGCCGATGGGGATGTAGCGCAGCAGGTGCTTGGCTCGCAGCGCTGCTGCCTGCTGGTCGTCCAGAAACGGATCGAAGGTGAACGCCTTTGTGCGCAGGCGCTCCCGTACTGCCTGCTCAAACGAGGTCTCTCCTGCACTGCCGACGCTGCAAGAGAGGGGGAGGGGAGGGGGGGGGGGGGGAGGAGGAGGAGGGGAGGGGGAAGGGAGGGGGGAAGGGGAGGGGAGGGGAGGGGAGGGAGGGGGCGGGGAGGAGGGTAAGGGAGAGGGAGAAAAAGAGAAAGGGAAGGAAGAGGGTCTGACAGGGTCGAAGGTGAATTCCTTGGTGCGAAGGCGCTCCCTCACCGCCTGCTCAAAGGACGTCTCCCCTGCACTCCCCACACTGCAAGAGGGGAAGGGAATGAAAGGGGCATGGCACGGGTCGAAGGTGAACGCCATTGGTGCGCAGGCGCTCCCTCACTGCCTGCTCAAAGGACGTTTCTCCCGCACTCCCCACATTGGAAGGAAGAGGGAAAAGGGAGGGAGAAGAGGGAAAGGAGAGGGAAAGGGTCGAAGTAAACGGGTCGAAGTTGAACGCCTTGGTGGGCAGTCGCTCCCTCACATCACAGCTTGCTCTAAGGATGTATTACCCGCACTGCCCACACTGCGGAAGGGGAGGGGGAGAAGAGGGGAGGAGGGGAGGGGAGGGAAAGGAAAAGGGAAGAGAAAGGAGAGAGAAAGGAGAGGAAAGGGAAGAGTGAATGGCTTCTAAGCTGCTCCCTCACGGTTTGCTCAAAGGACGTCTTCCCTGCACTGCACACTCCCAACGCTGAGTTGGGGGGATGCAAGAGAGAGAGGAGGATTTTGGTCACAAGAAAATTGAGCCCGTTTTTTCTTCTTCTTCTACGTGACACTCGGTTTCTGGCCTCGTTCTCGTCTTGATTTCCCCCATTCCGTTCCTTCGTTCCTGGTTCCTTCTCTCGTTTTGAGACGTCTCAAAACTTTTCCCCCATTCCGTTCCTTCGTTCCTGGTTCCTTCTCTCTTTTACCTTCTTCTACATTACCCATCCCATCCACTTCGTATTCTTTGTTACACTTTACCCCATTCCGAATCCCTCTTCTTTCTCTATCAGCACCCCCGCAACCTTTTCCCTGCCCCACCCCCCCAACCTTCCCATCGTCCCCTCGCCTTCCCCCCTTCTTCCCTTAATCTTCGTCCCCTCCCCATTGTGCCCCCTCTTCACGCTCTCGCTTCCTTCGCTCCTTACCTCCCTCCCCCCTTCCCACCTTCTCCCCTCCACAACCCCTCAACCCCCCCACCCCCTCACCTGTACACGATGGGTCGCCTTCCCACCCCCTCTCCCCCCTCATCCCCCTCACCTGTACACGATGGGTCGCCTTCCCCCGCCTCTCAGTTTCCGAATATTGCACACCCACTGGCAGTAGGGGGGACAGGCACAGGGGCGAGGGGGAACAGAGGTGGGGGCGAGGCGGGACAGGGGTGGAATGGGAGACAGGGATGGGGCCGGGATTTCAGAGGTTTACTTGAAAACGAGAGAGAAGGGGAGAGGGGAGAGGGGGGCAGGGGGTTTATGAAGGAAAAAAGCAGGAAGATCGAAGGCAGAAAGAGGGATTGAGGTTGGCGTGAGAAAACGCCTCCATCCTTCCCAGCTTGTCACCAATGCCTTTCCCACTAAGTTCTACCCACTACGACCTACCCCATATATACCTACCCCACTGATACCTAGGCCACTAAGACCCACCCCACCACCACCAATTCCTTCCCTTAACTCCCCCCTGGACAAGCGCGCAAGGCTCACCTTTCCCCTTTCCCGTCCGCCCCTCGACCCCCTTGATCTTGCCCGGCTTCCCACCAAGCTCTCTCCCACGTGAGACTGATCCCTCCAAGCCCGATTCCACTCAGGGCGGATTTCACTCGGGCCAAGTCCATTTCGGCCCATTCCGCCCCTCAACTTCCCCCTAGACACGGGCGCTAGGCTCACCTTTCCCCCTTCTCCGTCCGCCACCACGCCCCCCAGGCGCTCGGCGCACTTGCAGGGGTAGATGGGCGTGAGGGAGACCCCCTTGATCTTGCCCGGCTTCCCACCAAGCTCTCTCCCACGTGAGACTGATCCCTCCTAGCCCGATTCCACTCGGGGCGGATTTCACTCGGGCCAAGTCCATTTCGGCCCATTCCGCCCCTCAACTTCCCCCTAGACACGGGCGCTAGGCTCACCTTTCCCCCTTCTCCGTCCGCCACCACGCCCCCCAGGCGCTCGGCGCGCTTGCAGGGGTAGATGGGCGTGAGGGAGACCCCCTTGATCTTGCCCGGCTTCCCACCAAGCTCTCTCCCACATGAGACTGATCCCTCCAAGCCCGATTCCACTCAGGCGGATTTCACTCGGGCCAAGTCCATTTCGGCCCATTCCGCCCCTCAACTTCCCCCTAGACATGGGCGCTAGGCTCACCTTTCCTCCTTCTCCGTCTGCCCCGACCCCCCCCAGGCGCTCGGCGCGCTTGCAGGGGTAGGTGGGCGTGAGGAACACCTCCTTGATCTTGCCCGGCTTCCACCGCGGGAACGGCGGCTCGGGGCGCTTGCCGCCCGTCAGCTCGTTCCGCCGCGCCAGACGCATCTGTGGAAGGAGGGGCAGGAGAGAGGGGGTGGGGTGTGGTGGAGGAAAAAACATTCTACAACATTAACGTATAAGCTAAATCCTACGCGTGGCATTGACACACATTTCATTTCTTTCAGCTGATGGGCGGCAAGCGCCCGCGCTTTTCATTTCTTTCAGACATCAAGCCCACGATCCACTTGCAAATTTCATTCCTTCCAAGAAACAGATATCTGATATTTAAATCAAGCAGCGTGTTTCAAACACCAACGCCTCTTACTTTCCTACTCAAATGAATCCTTTCTCCCTGACACCAATCTTAACCTGAAAGCGACACATATCTTTTTACATCTCAATCCGTACCTTGCAGCTAGTGATCAACATCATAGTTGCTGCCACGTCAAGTCATGGCACCTAACTGGGGCCCACTCGGACACATTTTGTTTATATCGCAATCTGTACCTTGCAGTTGGTGATCAACATATTGCGCATTACTCCTAGTTCTCACCTCGTATTCCGCCGCCGCGCTCACACTTTCCTGCTCCTCTTCCGGCTTCCACATCAGAATCGAGTCGCGATTCTCACCTGGTATTCCGCCTCCGCGCTCACGTACTCCTGCTCCTCTTTACTCAACCGCTTCCCCTTCGGGCCGTGCTCCACGGGACGGCTCAGATCGAAATCCGGAAGGAACGGCGCCGCGCCTATGCCGCCCTTTACGAACGAGATTTCCCCCCCTTCATCCCCCTCCCCCCCCCCCTTCCTCCATGACGTCCGCGCTTTCCCCCCCTCCGCGCGGGTTCTTTGCGCCGGGCTGCGCGGATGATGGTTTCGTGGCGATGTTTGCGCCAGTATATGAAATGACCAATATGACGCATGCGGCGGAAATGAGGAAGACTATACAGGGGATCAACGATCTGGCACCGCCTTCGCCCTTTTTGCGACCGGCTTTGACGCGATTCATTTTGACGTGACAGGCCTAGGAATGTGTCAACATGTGCGGCTGACGAAGCAGAGAAGGGAGAACACTAATGCTAATGCGAGGTGTGTACCGACGCCGAAGTTGGAACACTGGAGGAATCTGTCACGAAATCTGCGAGTGATCTTCGCAACCCAGACCAGGGAATACGCCTGGCTCCAGAGAACGAGAAGAAAAATGTTCGTAGGGTGAAGCGAGGACGCCACCGCAGAGAAATGCTCGTCAGAATCAATGCTAGTGCACAATGGGGACTGCAGCAACTTAGTCCCTAGAAATTATCCATTTAGCGTAGAGCTTGGAAGTTGAAACATTTGGGAGTAGAAGTTGGCTTCTTGGGATTGTGGGGGGAAAATGCTGTTGGTGTGTGGTGGATACCGATTGTGGTGGCATCTCTCCAAACCGACGCGTTTTCTTTAGTCCCGTTCGAAACCGATCAGCACCGTCGTCACCCACCACCCTTTTCGCCTTGTTGCGGGGTGCTGTGCGCTGCTGTCACGACGGTCATCACAGCTGGAAGGCGCTGTTGGTTGGTGAGACTCAGGGCATGACAGAATTCTGGTGGGATCGAACGCTTTCAAAATATAGCGCTTCGACTTGGGAACTCCCAGAGGTTGGGGCTGAAGCCAATCGCAGGTGGCCCGTGCGGAGGAACAGACCAGGTGGCAAAGAGATTTTACCTGTAACCACCACACCAGGGTGCGTCAAGCCCTATGAAACCGGCTTGGTTCGGGGCTCGTTTGTTCCGACAAACCGGGCTTGGTTCGGGGCTTACCTGATCTTGACCCTTCACAACCTCCGACCTCGCCATAGGGTTCACACGCGATTCGTTTTAACACCAATGTACTGGCTTGAACGTTGATTTGCGAAGTGTAGATACAGATCTTGAAAGTTGCTTTGCATTCAGAGCTTCAGAGTGCATGTTTTTTACCCTCCTCTTCATTTCAGGCTGGGTTTCCAGAGTTAACATTGAATTTTATATTACTTATAAAGTGGGTTTATTATCTGATTTTACCAACATGTACACTGATGTGTATGTACGGTGGTAATATGGCTTTGGTGCCATGATTGCTGTTGGAAGGGTCACCTCGCCACTTGACCTCTCCTGATTTTTTTATTCAGATTGTTTCCCCAGCTCTTACTCTCGCAGCTTCATTCCCATTCTCCCCCAGTCCTTAGAGGCCAACAAATACGGCTTCCAACATGACATTTTTCATGTTGGAAAACCGAATACAGTATAACGAATGCTGCATACCAGTGCTGTTTGATTTTAGTGTAGTCCCCTTTATAAGCCTCCACGTTAAGGGGGGAAATTTACTGTTCCCTTTGAACAGTACTTTCCAACTCACCCTTATCCTCATCTTCCTTGGTTTCCTCGTGCCACGTGGCACTCTACTTTTCTTGCTTCTACGTTCTAGTCCCACGAATTACTTTCTATCACTCGATATTGCATGCTATATCAACCTTCCTTGTATTTGTTGCGAATATGTTTGTACGCTTTTATTATTAAGTGCACTGTTCGGAGTGTGCTTACAGGGGCTCGCCATATCGAAGAGTTCAACCCTGGTGTCGAGTCAACGGGGTGCAACCGTGCACAGCGGTTGCGACCCGCGTGGCAGTTCAAGAGTCGAGATTCTGCAGGAGGCAGCGTGAATAGTACGCGAAATAGCCCTGCTGGGCGCGGCAGAGTACCGCGCCCTTGCCGAAGCTGAACAGTCGCGCCACAGCGACTGTAACTGGGCAACTGAAACGTTACAGCGCGACTGTTGCACCTTGGTAACTGCCTGCCTGCTATGTTTCCTATATAACTGAATGTATTGCATTGTTCCTACTACACAATTCTCATTCTTGTGTCCGGCCTAACCTCGGCAACCGCTTTGGCACCAAGTTACAAGCCAGGAGAGCTACCTCTGAGTGACCATAGCCACGCTGCAGGGACGTCGTTAATTCCTAGAGTATTTCCGCTGCTCTAGCGAACTTCAAATTCCAACATTTTATAATATATCTGATTTCAGAGACATTGATCCTGAAACATATCACTACATGGGCTTTTATTAAGTCCAGACAAGGCCTTCATAACTGACTTTAACTCATACAAGACTTCCGCTACGACAGGAAGCTACCATCCTAAGTAATACGATCCTATTTAATCACTTCAAATTCTAATAGTATTCACCAAGATAATTAATTCTCTATCCGTTTCCTATGCAAGCTTTCTATCCTTTTCTTTCTACAAACACGTTTCCGCCACGTTGGCACTATGCCTTTCTATCATTGTATTAGAGCTACTCTAGGGGGCATGCTGCCAAATTTGGTATATAAAGTTGTTGGCACTCACTTCGGATAGGTACCTGCAAACACTCAGAGTACCGGACACCTAGTATACGCTTTCGTACACGTGGTCTTCACGTCCGAAGCAACCTTGCGCTTGTAGTGAACACCTGGTGTACGGTTTGATCAAGATCGTGGCGCACTTCGACGATGAAGTGGATGCTGTGTATGCGGCTTTCGAGGAAGCCATCTTGGCCCAGCACGAGCACCTGGAAAACAGGGCTCAGGAATCCCTCCACTCATGGGCAATCTCATTCAAGCACTCCTTGTACTAACCAAACTCGTGCAAATGTTCATGCAGAAATTAATGGTGAAGGGGAAATGGGCATACCTCAAGGAGGAGAGTCATCCCAAGGGAGGGATGCATCCATCCAACGAGAAGGGAGCTCAAATCCCGCACCTCAATCATCCGTGTAAAGGGAAGCACGAGGGAGGAGTGATGAGTATGGGAGTGAAGAGCATGCAATGGAGCATGGTAGACTGGGAAGTGGACAGATTGGGCCACAGAGTGACGGAAATGGTCAAGAGGGTGTGGAAGGTGTGAGATTTGTCTCCTACACTATTGGTGCTCCCCCACTACGACGACTTGCGACTAATTCCCATCCCAGTGGAGTTCCTCCCATGGCCAGGTCTCACCTTCATGGCGACAACATCATTCCTCCACGTGCACATTGTCTACCAATTGGAGTACATTATGTGGACGGCATGGGGCGGATGGGACACGGAATGCAGTGGAGTGGTGTCATGTGACGTGATCAAGTGGAAGTGCTGGAACGTCAACTTGGTGGATAGAATGGAAACATGCAGCGCATGGTACAGCTACTCCGACCTTCAACCATGCCTACTCTCTTCGACCCCGCTCCACGCGAATACACAGAAGAAGAGAAGGAACGGCTGTCACGCAAAATGGTGGGCGCGACGGTGGACAAGGCGTTCACCACCACTCCGTTTGACGGCTCGAACTTCCGGGAGTGGGCACTACGGTTTTGTACGAATGCTCGTGTCACAAATCTGTGGGAGTTCTTTGTGACCCTGCAGTATCTGGTTACCATGGGAAATGGTGGCATTGACGACGCTATGGAGCGGCTGGAAATGCTACGGTCGGATTACTCACAGCGTGCGGCACTCGCCTTTTGGGTCTTACTGCACAGCGTGAGCGCCACAATTTAGCTGCAATTGGACATGTTACAGGAATCCTACAACCCGGCATATGAAGCATGGGAGTATTTAATGGATACGTACCAGGCCAAAGATTCGGTGGCGAAGGTCTCGCTCTTGAAACAGTTGGACAACCTGAAAATGAGGAGTCAAGAAAGAGTGGAGGAGTACGTCAACCGCGCAACGGCGATTCAGGACAAGTTGGCACTAGCGGGGAAGATGGTGGATGAGGACACATTCACATTAAACTTGCTCACCGGCCTATCGGCACATTGGGAGGAGATGAGGCACTCGGCAATGCTACACAACGTGATGGACAGCTATACGCTGCAGCGGATGATGATTCAGGAGCAGAGATATCACGACCTCATTACGAAGGATAACCGTGACCGGCATCCACCTCACATGGATGGACAAGCACGTGGAGACCGCTCACCTTCTCCAACTGCTAAGGGCAATAGGGGGAAGAAGGAGGGGTCCATTGGGGAGAAAACGCATGGCAAGGATGGAGATGCAAGTCGCTCATCTCTCGTGTGTTGGTACTGCAAGGAGCCAGGCC